TCTATGTGGAATTCATTCTTTTTTAGTTTAAAATTTTATTGTAAATGTGATGTACAGAGGGGTTACAGTTACATAAGTAAGATAATGAGTACATTTCTTGTTGAATAGTGTTACCCCTTCCCTTGTTTTCTCCCAATTCCTCTCCTCACATCCCCCTTCCCCACTCAAATTGTTAAACAAACCTTAACCTGTGAGGCCACAGAAATTGTGTGGTTCTTTAAGCCAAACTGCTTTCATTCAAACCTCATTCCTTCACTACCTGTGACCTTGGGCATATCACTTCACCTCTCTTGTGCTTCAATTTATTTATATGTGAAATGGTGACACTAACGTTATATACCTCATAAAGCATTGGGAGGATTAGATGAAGTATTTAGCCCTTTAATAAGCCTCATATGAGGAGTGGGGTTGGGAAGGAAAGAGGAACATGGTGTATGGGATTATATTGTTCAAGAGGCATTGTACTTACAAACTGATATGTTGAATAGTAAACACTTGTACGTTTACTTAAGTAAAAAAAAGTCATGTTGGCTGCTATTATATTTTTTAAAAGCTTATTTTAAAACCAAATATAGGTTTATTATTGAACTTATCTAATGCTAAAAGCCACCTTTTAAAGAAACTATCAAACATTCAACTTTAAGAATGTTGAGCTTGAGGAAAAATAATGATAGAAGGAGAAAGAAAGGCAGGAATGAGAAAGGACAGAACAAAAGAATTCTCTATTTTAAGCAGCTCATGCAGTAACCTAACATTACGAGTAAGTTTGACAAAGAAAAGAAGGACATATATTTCAGTGTCAGATGGCTAATGTAGACTCAGCAAATGCTGACAGCTATCCTTGTTATTGTTAGAAGCAGTGTCTTAACCATCTTTCTGCCTTAAATATTGGTTCTATTGAATATCCCCATGCTTTTTTTTCTTTTAATCACAAATATTATCTGGCTTGATTAACACATCTTCACTTTTCTTGTTGTAAAAATAAAACAAACTAAAATATGTGAATGAACTTTGGCCACTTTGTAAGATTTATTGTAGGATATGGTGCCTATAAATAAAGCAATATGGTACTAAGAAAAAAGAAAATCCATCACCAGATATACAACTGTACATTTACAGACTCCCCTGTAAATAGATGAAGATTACAGGTTTTAAAAGTGAATAAGAGTCTACAGCAACAATTGTGTGACTCAGAAAAATGCATGAAGCAAAAAACATGCTACATATAATAGAAGTAGTGTTTACTCAGTAGCATTGACAGCCAAATTAAGCACAAACAAATTGGTACATGGTAGTTTGGTTAAAAAGAAACTATGAAACTCCCTTGTTTGGGCCCTTTTGGAGTTTCTTAGACGGACCTAACTACTCACCATGAAGGCAAATGCAAAAATTTGGAAGTTGACTATTTACGCATCAAAAGTTCTTCACTTTTAGGAAAGGGAGCTTCTATTTTTCTGAAGTCTCCAAGGTGTGAACAAAAAGAGATGTATTTATGGGGAAAGGAGAAATCTTAGGTCTCAAAACTAAATTGTTCCTGTTCTGAAAAGAACATAGTAAGAGAACATTAAAAAAATAACTAAATGAGGTTTTCTGCACAGTTACAATGTCCAAGGACAGTACTGATTCAATGCCTTAGCAATTTGCTTGCAATTTTATTCTGGAAGTATTGTTAAGATTCAGTTACAACATAACAACACACTATTTCTTAACCATAGAAACTGGTATCAGAGCCCAGTATATATAGTTTCAAAATTTTTCCCTTCTAATAGTGCCATGTAAATGGATTATAAAAGAAAAACCATTTTAAGTCTTACATACTGATTGACTCTTGTACATTTGGACCACATTTACCTTTCAGAAGGGTAAAAGTTATCATCTGCAAGAGAGAAACATAAAACCAAAAGTATTACATTAGCCAGAGCAGATGGAATATTTCACTAATTCCAATAGCTAGACTGCTCTGGGCTTGAAGATACTTTCTGTCTGAGGATGTCAATCATAGGGCATGGCAATTTCTGTGAGTAATCTTCCTCACCCATGGCTCTTGGATATCCATTGCTTAATTGTCCATAAGACAAAGAAGTAAGAATCTCACCCCTGAATTCTATGCACTAGTCTCAAAATATCCTGGTAAGAGAACACGGCCTACCCTTAGCAATGAATATGGAGCTATAGATAAGCCTGGGATATCATTCCTTCAATTATAAAAATATTTCTTCCCTTCAGTGTAGAGACTTCTCTGACCCTAAGTTGAATCAACACTAATCTGCGCTCTTGGTTTCTAATTTTAGTAGATCACATGTGCATTTTATTTTACCAGCTGTGCTTTGATGTAATGGATACCACTGCTGCATTTGTTTTCCCTTTGTCTTACCATTTCTGTGCCTCTCTTACCATTCCAAAGACAGATAGATGAACAAGACAAAAGGAGAAGAAAACAAAATAGCAACAAAGGGGAAAAAAAACCTCTTGTTTCCATTTCCTGGGTTCATATCCATAAATCTTATTTCAGTAGTACTCACTAGAATACTACACTGAAAATGAACTACAACATTTGTAGGTGTGGACAGGAAGGAAACACTGGGAGAGAACAGAGGAAAGGGGTACTCTCTACTTACTTATATAACTACAACACCTTGGTGCATCACATTTATAATCACAATAAAAATATATGAAAGGGAAACAAACGTAGTGGAGATAGGCCTGGTGGCACAGAGCTGTAATCCCAGAACTTGGAGGGGAGCAGGAAGGGTCATGAGGTGATTGGAAGGCCACTCTGGACTACATAGCAAGAATTTGTGCTGAACAAACAAAAAAGCAACAACATAAAGGTAATGATTTAAAAAAATACCCATCAGTATTAGAGAAGATAGAAAAGACCAGAATTTAGGTCTCAGTATTGCCATCTGTTCTTTCATGGCAATTTTCAAGTCATTCTACTCCCACAGGTCTTTTGTGTCAACACCAAAAAAAAAAAAAAAAAAAAAAATGGAGGTGTTTGACTATTCTTAAGCCCTTCTTCAGATCTAAAAGTCTAAATTAATAAGAAAAGCCACCACTGCCTCCTTCCAACACAGGATCTATGTGTACTATGAAAATAATTAGGCCCTGTGTGTTTAAAGGATAGTTAAGGAAAGTGTATTTTTTCCTTCCTGGTCATGGGGCTATAATTCATTTGTTGTCCTAAGACATGCAATCAACTGACACTGGACAACATAGTTAATTCTTTCATTTGACATGCCATATTAAATGCTAGATGCTTAGGTTTAAAAACAGTAAGCCATCTGTCTATATTTTCCTGCTTATCAAAATTAAATTGATCTCGTAATTAACATCCAATTAACACCATTGGTTGAAGTAATTGAGTGCTGTCTCTTTTACTAAGGAAGCTATGAATGATTCTCCTTGGAAGGCTTTTTACTTCTTAGAAGGTCAGCAGGCCCCCCAATTCAGACTCCTGCTCCTGGACCAGCAGCTTTATACCAAATCCTAAAAGAGCAATCTCCTTACAGAATGAATAATGCTCACACTACTCTACCTTTATAATAAAAATCATGCAAATTTGAGTTTTGCCCATGTTAAAGACTGTCTTATTTGAATAGGTGGACCAGTATTCATTTACTTCAGCCTGAATGGTGCCTGATGCAATGTTTTTCAATGTGACTTTAGCTGAGTTGCAATCGGCAGAGGCTTAGGATACAGACTGCTATACTTACAAGTATGATTGGTGATAACTGTGGCATCTAATTGTGTTCTCAGTTCTAGATTTAGCATCTTCTCTAGCTTTATTCTTCTGGTCAGCTATTGAATATGATTTTATATATCCTCAGCAATCAGTCAGATTTTGCTTTTTCATCAGGCTTCAGAATGAAACCCAACAAATTTCAGATAAAATCCAAAATAGGATTTTCTCTGATTCACACACATCAGTGAAGAATATGGTATTACATGTATTGCTTTACATATAGTTAGGAATATTTTTGTATTTGTATGCATATAAATATATTAATGCACTCAGATGTACTCTGTGCATATATACAATATCTCTCCAAATCTATTTCTTTGATAAGTTTGGTGGCACATAAAGTCATACATCATCATCATGACAATACAAATTATTACTGTTTTGCCCAGGTTAATTTAAAAAGGATTGAAGCATTCACTTTAAATTCCTTTTAAAATGTGTGGCTTTTTGTAGGATTTTTCAGAATTGGAAATAATATCTAGTAACCTGTATGCTTTTATGCTGATTTCAGAAATTTCTAGCCATTTTCTATCATCTATTTGCTTAGTGCCTTGGGCGATATTAAAATATTTATATTTTCTATAGATATTAATAAATGGCTAGGACATACACATATCAGTGAAGAGTTCATTTAAAAATTTCAATGTTTAGTTGCTAACCTCTTTTTGTGGGCTACAACTTGGGGGACCAACTAGAAATTTGCATGAAAAGAGCTCTCCTTGCATTGCTCTTTGCTTCACTCCATCAGCAATATGAGATGGAAAATTTCTTTTCAACCTGGGAGAGATTAAAATTTGCATTTCTACTGGAATTAGGAAGACAGAATAAAGAGGAATGGGAAATGGAAGCAGAGCAAGTTAAGACCACTAGGGAAAATAAGTTCTGAGATTCTATCAAAACCCGATTACACTGGAAATCGTGCAATTGGGTTTGTAAGTTAAGAATAAAGTGTTTTTCAATTTGTGCTTTAGAAAACAAATAAAAACAAAAGATAGAAACAATGAAAAGTACAGTAGGAGTTTAATTAAAAGGGAAAGGAAGGGGATGCAAAGTACTCCAAAAATCTCCTTCATGAAAGAGGCAGGAAAGGAAGGAAGTTTTCAAAAGTCTCATCAGTAAGGGTTAAAACAAATAGATTCAGCCCTCCATTTACTAGAAAGCTAAATAAAATAGGTTATGTCATTTCTGATGCCTTCTCCAGAATCCTTTTTTATTTAAAAGTTGAATTTGTTTGTCAAAACGAGGAGAAAAAAAGTCTACTTTGCAATATTAACATTGGTATCTATTTATTTTTTCTTTGAGCAGGCATTTCCATCATTAGCTCAGAAAACTAACATTCATAGAACTGAAAGGAATCATATAGAGAAACAGTGAAAGAATAACAATTCTCTCCAGTGATGAAACTGGGGCTTGATCACTTTCACCAGGTTAACAAAATGGCATGAGAAAGTAGGAAGAGGGTTCTTAGCCAATGCACAACATTTTAATGACAACTTATTGTGATTCTTGGCACTGGTAAAGACCTGATAAATGTTCCTGAGGTAAAAATGCATCATTATTCATGGCCCCTAAGACTGTATAAGTTGCACCTAGTGTTTGTTGAATCATTCCATGTGGATTTTTTTGGATTAATTCACTAATACGTAATATGCACATGAATATGGAGAGACTTGAGTCATCTCACATTAGGGACAGGAAACTATTCTTCTGTTTTTATTCCTTCCTATTTGTTTTTGAATACATAGCTTTTCCCAACCCAAATAAAACCATTAACAAACAAAAATTTAAAGTACTTCATCTCACAGGGATCTTAGTCTATGGCCAAGACCATCTTTATGATCCTTTTTGCATAATCTTGATATAACATCTTGTTTTTGGCATTGAAATAAATTGGTAACTAGTCTACATAAATTCCATTCTATACAAATATTATCAAGTAGAGTAATCTGGACTATATCAGAACAAACAAGCAATAAGGTATCATCTCTAAAGAGATGGCAGAATGTGCCATCTATAGTCTAATGAAATGGTTATGAGTATCACATGATACTGCATATGTAAAAGGACTCTAAATGACAAAGCACTTTGGACATTAAGGTCATTATTACTGTTGCTATTATGGAATAACAACTGATAGAATAGGAGTGGGGATTAACCCAAAGAAGGCAAAAGCTCTGGTCAGATTTTATAGAAGGAATTATCGTGTTTAACTCTTGGCACTTGGCAATGATAATGAAATAAATAGAAAGATGCATCTTGGGCCTATAAAGTAGAAATTTGAATATACAAATATATAGTATGAAGTATGATAGAATACAAATTGATGTAAAAATATGTTTTGCTTTCCTCGTTTCATGATTTTAAAAAGCATATTTTTTGTAGTTGTTGGAAGTTGAAGCAGAGTTATGAAACCCTTTGGTTGTGTTTTAGGAATATTTTCACAGTTTATGTTATTACAGTGTTGAAGTTGATATCTTACATGTTAAGTAGCCTTTTGAAATATTTAGTACTGAGTCAAAAATAACTAAACATGAATACAGATCATTCTAATAATATACTTAGTCATATTGTTTTGAGCAGTAACAACGAAATCATCAGTAGAAATTCATCAAGGTTTGTCACTTGGTAAATTTTGAATTAAGTGTTTGAAATAGTCAAGTAATCTTGATGTGTAAAACCTCCAGGAGTCTTCATCTTTAACTAGATAATGGCCTGAGGTTTTAGCTATAGGAAGCAATGAAGGAATAAGGTATATCAGAAGGAAATACCTTCTCTCCCTCAGTCTAACTAGTAACTGTGGCAAGATACTTGTGCCTTGATAGCATTTCTTGGGACAGTGTTTGACAGTTAACCATTCTTCAAGATGGCAGAGTTACCCACACTCATGAGGCTACGCACTCAATAACCTTACCAAATCCATGGCTTTTGGAGGTAACTACATAAGAATCCTGGACAGCTATCTTGAAGGATACTTTTCCCATTTCTTAGGTCACAGTTGGCATGTTACTGGCCTTCATTTCAATTCCAGTTTAAATTATAAAGTGCAGTATGTAGTGTTGAACCTTCAAGAAACAGAATGAGTACAGCTACCTTCCACAGAATACCAAGTTCAGATTGCTAGCAAAACCACCATCCACACTAGAGAATATACAGGAACTTGACCATTGCTGTTGTCTTTATCTAATCACCATGATCATCATCGTCATCTGCTTCATCAACATCACAGTTGCAGTATCACAATAATGGTAAGTACTATGCATTCAACATCAAGATACTGTCCAGTTTGGATGTGTAAATATTATTCTGTGTTTCTTGGCCCATTTAGCAAACACTTTCTTTTCAGTGATAAACCTGTGTCCCCCATATGGAGCATGTTCATGTAGAAAATACTCATCACATTCATCTCTTCCTTGTTCATAGTAATGATAGGGAACTTTTCTGTACCCTTCTGTCCTAGAAAAGAATAAAAGAGAAAAGGAGAGAAAGGTTGAGATGAAGAATGAAACATTCATTTGCAAGAATCCATTAGGTGCCCAGTGAGTGCATTTACTTGCAAACCCATCCATGATTCTTGTGGATGGTCTCAGTTAAAAGCTATTATGTATGAAAGCTTTTAGGAAGATGTAGCAGGTTCTTAGTGCTTTAATAGATCAAATAAAATTTATACATCACACCAATTACATTCAAACATATGGCTACTCTCTGAGAGAATAAATGGTATATAATGGAAGAGAACCTTGGATAGCCTTATGCTCTTACAGAACTTAAAGAATCTTTGTGATTTTTCATAGGAAGATTTTGGTTTCTGTATTCCATTATAATTTTAGTTCTAGTAGAGATATTTGTTTCTGAGACTGTGGCTGAGAGTTACCATTTTGACAACATGATTAACAGTCACTAAATTATATTGTGCCAGTTGTTGTTAGAAAAATATACTGCATTAGTCTGATGAAATATGGGGAGATTGTGTTATTGCCTAATTAAAAGCAACCCCACCAGCTTATACTGTGGATAAATACACTTATTTTAAATAAGGAAATGGCAGATTACTCACTTATTAAAGAAATATAATTTCCAAGAATTTTTAAGTTGTCAGTTTCTCTGAGGCTTGGAGACATTTTGTCCTTCATGATCGAATATAACCATTGGCTAGATAGCTATCAGGTCATTAGAACAGTGGAATTGACAAATTTACTTCTGTGAATTAAATTTCCACTGAAATTGTCCTATCTTTCCAAGTACGAGTCAAAAGTAGGACACTGATTAAAGGAAAAGTATTCCTTTTGACATTTGACATTACACCATAGTAAATATTCTTTTTTTTCTTTTTATCATCCCCGGGGAAGTCGCAGCTTGATGCACTGACAACACACTGTCATGTCAGCAAAGAATGCCAGGAAATAATTGTTGCTTTATCTGTATCAGATTTATGACATTAAAATGAATTGTGATATTTTGACAAGATATCAGCATTGGAGCTACATAAAAGTAATTTCCTGTGATCTTACCTACAGTAGGTGTCATTTATCATGCCATATACGTGGATGCTGTAACAGGCGTCCATGGCCAGAATGAAGGTAAACCACCCTGTGCTGAGGTAAGAGCCAGACTGGACTCTGTGAAGAAATGAACACAGACAACAAACAAGACAAAACCAAATCAAGGAAGTGTATTGAGAAACAAGCTGCACTTTACCAAAGAAGGTAGCACTTATTACCAGGAAGAAGCATTAAGAAACCTGACGATCTGTCAAGGATACACACTTATTTTGAATTATCTCTGAATAATTTATAGGCATGCTCTTGCTCTCACTACCTTAAGCCTCAAAGCTATGCTGTGTGGAAGAAAAGCCATATGGCAAATATCTGAAGTCAAATAATCCTGCTTCCTTCAGGTGAAAGATAATTTATTTGGCTTTCCATGAGCTACAAATTAGTGTCGTATATCAGAAGACAGGTCTTCAAAAAGGTGCTTGGAGCCTGATGGGAACTGAATGATAATAGTATCATTATGCTTACCTGGACATTGTACTATCTCCGATGTTTCTCAGATTTTTACATGTAAATTGAATGCAGTGTGAGTGAGTGACCTGGTCTATAACAACATCCCCAAAGTTTTCCTAAACTGTGTTTTAGGCTTCATAACAGAGACATTTGCTTGATAAGATCTCCATTACCAACCTTTTTAGCATAGGTTTATTGAACATCTACTGTATGCCAATCACTATTCTAATTACTTGGAATATAGCAATTATGAAGCAAATTTTTTGTCTTTATCAAGCTGGAGGGCTGGATTTAGAATTAGCTGTGTTATAAAGGTGGGTAGAGGAAGGCATGCTTGATAAAAGGAGGAAAAAAATGTGTGCAGTGAGGTGGAAAGAAGCCATGCAGATCATAGAGAAATGTACTTCAGGAAGAGGGAATGTTAAGGGCAAAAATCACAGAGAAGTGTGCTTGTTATGTTCAGGGAAGCACAAGAACTGTGAGGGAGATTTGCCTAATGTAGTTAAGGTAGGTCTGACTGAGGGGTTATGCCAAGTTCCAAACATGGACCTCCATGTTTGGCATAACTCATCCTTACCAGATGACTGCCTACCTCCTGAAATCGTTCCCTATGGGGCACAATTGGATTACACCAATTTGTTTAGCAGTAATGTAGGAGTACATTAAAAAATATCCATTCAAGGGCTGGGAAGGTGGCTCAGTAGTAGAGTGCTTGCCTTGCATGCATGAGGCCCTGGGTTCGATTCCTCAGCATTACATAAGCAGAAAAAGCCAGAAGCGGCACTGTGGCTCAAGTGGTAGAGCACTAGCCTTGAGCTGAAGAGCTGAGGGACAGGACCCAGGCCCAGAGTTCAGGCCCCACAACTGACAAAAAACAAACAAACAAAAACCCTTCATTTCATATTTTCTTTCTTTCTTTCTCTCTCTTTTTTTTTTTACTTTGGCTTCTCAATGGTATCACTTGGTATCCCTGCTTTATTCTTTTTTAAAATATATACACATATTTTTATTGTGAAAATACCATACAGAGGAGTTACAATTACATGGGCAAGGTAATGAGTGCATTTCTTATCTAGAGTTCCTGACCAGATGGAGTTCAACCAGTTCTACCAAGTGACACTCAGAACCTTGATAACCTTCTAGCCAATCATTGCTCCCTGATACAGCTCCATTGACACAGTTCTTCACAATGAAACTGTTGGAACTAGGGGACACCTAGATTCTTTTTTTCTTTACAATCAAACATTAGCATCAGATGACTCATAATATACCAACAGTTCAGAAACAGCACAAATTTACAGTCGAAGTTGGTGACTAAATTGTTAGCCACTACATAGGTAACCATATCCTGGCATCTTCTGGTGCATGTTTTCTAAATGGAAAATAGCCATGTCTCTGCATGCGGTAGCTTGCAGAACCTCATAACTACCAAAATCTGTAGACATTCAAGTCCCTTATATGATAGCATAACATTTGCAGAGAAGCTATACACATCTTTCCATATAATTTAGAACATCTCTAGGCTACTTACAGTACCTAATGTAGTACAAATTCTATGCAAATGGTTGCTATATTATATCATTTAGAGAATAATGACAAGAAAAGAGTTTCTTCATATCCTCTATAGACCAAATACAGTATTTTAATCTACAGTTAGTTGGGCCTTTGGGTGCAGAATTTACAGATATAGAGGCTGCTACATTCCAGAAATCAGACCATACTGAGTTTTGTCATAAGAATAGTGCTAAAACATATCTGGAATATATGCTAAGTGGGGGTGAGGACATGGAGTGGAGTTTACACAGGGAGGAGAATAAGACTTATTATTTTGGCTTAACCTTCAGTTATTCTGCATTCTGGGAGTGAGGAGGAGAAGCAATAATGGGAATTTCTTATTTGAACACAGAGAGACAAGTATCTGGACAAAAATTTCTAAATTGAAAGAAATTTTGTTTTTATATTGGATTTGTCTGGCTAGTATTCCTACTGAATTGTATTCCTTCATCTCTTCTTGCCTTCTCATATAACCTTTTCTGTATTTTCACTCACTTTATTAGTTATTATTTTTTGTGCCTGTCTTAGAGCTTAAACCCAGGGTGTAGACATTGTCACCGAGCTTTTTGCTTAAAGGCTAGCACTCTACCCTTTAAGCCATAGCTCTACTTCTGGCTTTTTTTGGTGCTTAATTGACTTTCCTGCCCAGGTTGTCTTCTACCATGATCCTCCAATCTCAGTATCCTGAGTAGCTAGGATGCCAGTCACCAGCATCTCAATCTTCATTTACTTTATATCCCTGGATCCTTCTTTAGCTCAAGCCATACCAAGCACTAATAGAGATCGTGGACATTTATAGCATTTAGTTACTAATTTATCATCTTTGGGTCCGAGTGTCCTTGTTTCTAACATGAGATGTTAAACTAAGTCAGATCAAAGTCCTTTCCAATTTACAATGAAATGATTATGTGGTCATCACCTTCAATAATAAAATTATGATTAAGCTTTAACCATTGAGTCAGTAGTACTGGGCTCCCTGTATATTGGCTGTTGTAATTAACTAACACTTTAATGAGTCAGAACATATTTAGATTAGTACTTGCTTCTGTGATGGACATGACACTAAAGGAATGTGGTATATGTAAAAAGGAAAGGCATTGGAAGAATTTTACCTCAGTGGTTACAGTTATAATGACTAAATTTTTGTGTGTGGGAGGAACTTCACTATCACACTACCACTCATGGAAGAAGCAAAAGGCTAAGGAAACAATAGCTATCCAAGACTAAGGACTTAATTGGACTACACAGTGTTAAGATAAAACTAAATTTACCTGAGAATAAACATCGATTGGGGTAAGCTGTCATTCCTCTGCCATGGTCTCCCTACTTTAAATGCCAACTTGGAAGGCTCAGGATATTATAGCTATCAGATACATGCCAATGTTTTGTTTGACATACAAACCTTAGAAATAAACTTGTACTTATTCTGGGTCAACCTCAATGGTCATTTTTGAGTTCAGCAGCAGGTATTCACAATGGAGACCTCAAAGAATAAACAATCACAGTGGCTCATCTCGGTGTCATTTTCTTTCACCACAGATTAGGGTTCAGGAATTTCAGGGTTTGGCATACTGTCAAATATCTTTTCACCTTTCCACACATTTTCTTTTCTAATGGATTTTTTTATTGTCAAGGTGATGTACAGAGGGTTACAGTTACTTAAATAAGGTAATAAGTACATTTCTTATCAAACTTGATACCGCTTCCCTCACTTTTCTCCTACTTTCCCTCCCTCCTAACACCCCCGCCAAGTTGTACAGATCATTTCCAACATGTTGTTTTGTGTATATTACTATTGCATTCTGCTGTTCCCCTTCCCTTCCCTGATTCAAATAAACATATATACAATACCAGAACATCAAAATTAAATACAGTGACAACAGGGGTATACAATAGGGGGAAGAACATACAGAAGAAACAAAAAAAATCACATAGTAGATAAAAGATGACAACAAAGAAAAACCTCTTGTGTCCATGTCTTGAACCAACCCAAATGCCCCTCTGTAGATGAATGAATGTATTTATACCGTATTTATATATAATATATATTTATGTAAATATATATATATATTTCTATAGAATGGAATTCTATGCTTCCACCAGAAAAAATGACACTGCCCCATTTGTAAGGAAACAGAAAGACTTGGAAAAAAATCATATTAAGTGAAGTAAACCAGGCCCAAAGAAACATAAATCCCATGGTTTCACTTATTTTCAATAATTACTATATGTCTAGGATAATCTTAACAGATAAGCAGAATAGCTCTCTCTCTCTATATATATATGTGTATATATATATATATATATATATATATATATATATATATATATATATATATGATGATCCATAAGATGATCCTAAGTGAAATGAATACCACACAATTTTTATTGCACTTAAAATACTCAATTCCTTTCAGGCCTAACCTGATTTATTTTGTTTCTGGGTAGGTAGACCAGGGTAATTAGCCCAATGCTCCTGGAACAATATGTATTACATTAGATTCAGAATGAGGAGGCTCACACTGCCCAAGTGCCCTGCCCTAATAAACAGTACTTAATTAAATAGTTTCATTATTTCCCTCCCCATGCTTCTATATAATTGAGTTTGTGTGTGTGTGTGTGTGTGTGTGTGTGTGTGTGTGTGTGTGTGTGTGTGTGTGTGTGTGAAGTGACATGAGGTTTCCTACCTATACTACATGCTGGGCTTTCAAAGTTCTTTTTTTCTCTCAAAATATCCCTGGCTAATAGTCCAACAATAATGCTTAGGGTAGAAAAATGCAATGGTTGGGCTATTTTAGAAAGTCTTCTAAATAAATAGCCGGCTGATCTGAGTCCTTGAAGAAATGCCCTGGCCTGGATTGCACTGGCTTTCGAATTCTAGTAGTTATATCCTTTCAACTGGCCTATACTACCTCATGGGTATGCTGGAAATGAGTGTAAATTCTACCCAAGTAGACCTTTTATGGTTAAAAATTTTTAAGACTTGAAATGATTTACATGAAATTATCTATTTTTTTGGCTTGTGAGATCTAATAATAGGCATCAAATGATTTGAAAAC